GAAAACGGAGGCTTCTCTTCAAGCAGAAAGTGAAGGACAGATTTGGGAAGGGGCGCGACCCGCCGGCTATTAGTGGTTTATGTGAAAATATATATAAGTTGTAAGATTCAGAGATGAATATGGAGACGTTTATCCTGTCAGTGAGCGGAGAGGATATAAAAAACATAATCATAACAACCCCAAATGTCATGTGACCCGGCCTCTAATGTCCTCCATTCCTGGACTTATTGTGTCCTGCTTTCTGCCAGCGCAATATCATCATTTATATGGTGACTTTCATTGCGCTTCAGTCTGTTTAATTTTATTCTCGCTGACTTGTGCTTACTACACTGACTGACAAGCTCTGCACTGATCCTCCCTAATACACTGACTGACAAGCTCTGCACTGACCTGATCCTCCCTAATACACTGACTAACAAGCTCTGCACTGACCTGATCCTCCCTAATACACTAACAAGCTCTGCACTGATCCTCCCTAATACACTGAATGACAAGCTCTGCACTGACCTGATCCTCCCTAATACACTGACTGACAAGCTCTGCACTGGCCTGATCCTCCCTAATACACTGACTAACAAGCTCTGCACTGACCTGATCCTCCCTAATACACTGACTGACAAGCTCTGCACTGGCCTGATCCTCCCTAATACACTGACTAACAAGCTCTGCACTGACCTGATCCTCCCTAATACACTGACTGACAAGCTCTGCACTGGCCTAATATTCCCTGCTATACTGGTGGACAAGCTCTGCACTGGCCTGATCCTCCCTAATACACTGACTGACAAGCACTGCACTGGCCTAATATTCCCTGCTATACTGGTGGACAAGCTCTGCACTGGCCTGATCCTCCCTAATACACTGACTGACAAGCTCTGCACTGGCCTGATCCTCCCTAATACACGGAGTAATGAGCTCTGCACTGACCTAATATTCCCTGCTATACTGGTGGACAAGCTCTGCACTGGCCTAATATTCCCTGCTATACTGGTGGACAAGCTCTGCACTGGCCTGATCCTCCCTAATACACTGAGTAATGAGCTCTGCACTGACCTAATATTCCCTGCTATACTGGTGGAGGTGGACAAGCTTAGCAATAACCTCTTACCCCTTGCTACACTGACTGACAAGCTCTGCACTGCTCTGATCCTCCCCGCTATACTGATTTAAAAGCCCAGCACTGCTCCTAGACATACCTGTTACCTCTGGTCACATGACTCTGTAAGTTGTCTCCTCCAAAGCCTGAGAACTACAAGGGGCGGAGTTATATATACAGGAGTGACATCACCGCCCTCCGGATATATATATATATACAGGAGTGACATCACCGCCCTCCGGATATATATATATATACAGGAGTGACATCACCGCCCTACAGATATAAGATGATTCTGTTCATCCAGTCCTGAGATTTACACACCTCAGCCACACAGCACAGTCCTGCCTGCTAGGGGCGGAGACCTATTTTTTTTCCCCTGCTTCAGTTCAGTGACACTTACAGGTCTTGTTCCTCCCCCCAGCCTGTGATTGGACACTGAAGGGAGAAGCAGCAGACTGATGAGCTCATCTCTCTGTCACTCTTCTCTCTCCTGCTATCAGCATGTCCCTTGTTAGCACATAAACACTGCAGCACAACTGATTGGTTTCTTGTGCTGCGTCTCTTTGTCCTACGTGAGGAGCACTCAGCTGACCCGCCGCACCACCCTCTGCCAACGGCAACACATCGCCCTCCGAAACCTTCCCAGAACACACCACGGAGGACCGGATTCCCACATCTATGTTATATCGGCCCGGAGAGAATATCAACATTCACCGCTTCATTCACCGAGCGGGGAAAAAAAATCTGAGCTTCCCTTCAGTCTTCTATCTGACTTCCATCCTTCCCTTCAGTCTTCTATCTAAACTCCGTCATCCCCTTCAGTCTTATATCTGACCTCCGTCCTTCCCTTCAGTCTTCTATCTGACCTCCGTCCTCCCCTTCAGTCTTCTATCTGCCCTCCGTCCTCCCCTTCAGTCTTCTATCTGCCCTCCGTCCTCCCCTTCAGTCTTCTATCTGCCCTCCGTCCTCCCCTTCAGTCTTCTATCTGCCCTCCGTCCTCCCCTTCAGTCTTCTATCTGCCCTCCGTCCTCCCCTTCAGTCTTCTATCTGCCCTCCGTCCTCCCCTTCAGTCTTCTATCTGCCCTCCGTCCTCCCCTTCAGTCTTCTATCTGCCCTCCGTCCTCCCCTTCAGTCTTCTATCTGCCCTCCGTCCTCCCCTTCAGTCTTCTATCTGCCCTCCGTCCTCCCCTTCAGTCTTCTATCTGCCCTCCGTCCTCCCCTTCAGTCTTCTATCTGCCCTCCGTCCTCCCCTTCAGTCTTCTATCTGCCCTCCGTCCTCCCCTTCAGTCTTCTATCTGCCCTCCGTCCTCCCCTTCAGTCTTCTATCTGCCCTCCGTCCTCCCCTTCAGTCTTCTATCTGCCCTCCGTCCTCCCCTTCAGTCTTCTATCTGCCCTCCGTCCTCCCCTTCAGTCTTCTATCTGCCCTCCGTCCTCCCCTTCAGTCTTCTATCTGCCCTCCGTCCTCCCCTTCAGTCTTCTATCTGCCCTCCGTCCTCCCCTTCAGTCTTCTATCTGCCCTCCGTCCTCCCCTTCAGTCTTCTATCTGCCCTCCGTCCTCCCCTTCAGTCTTCTATCTGCCCTCCGTCCTCCCCTTCAGTCTTCTATCTGCCCTCCGTCCTCCCCTTCAGTCTTCTATCTGCCCTCCGTCCTCCCCTTCAGTCTTCTATCTGCCCTCCGTCCTCCCCTTCAGTCTTCTATCTGCCCTCCGTCCTCCCCTTCAGTCTTCTATCTGCCCTCCGTCCTCCCCTTCAGTCTTCTATCTGCCCTCCGTCCTCCCCTTCAGTCTTCTATCTGCCCTCCGTCCTCCCCTTCAGTCTTCTATCTGCCCTCCGTCCTCCCCTTCAGTCTTCTATCTGCCCTCCGTCCTCCCCTTCAGTCTTCTATCTGCCCTCCGTCCTCCCCTTCAGTCTTCTATCTGCCCTCCGTCCTCCCCTTCAGTCTTCTATCTGCCCTCCGTCCTCCCCTTCAGTCTTCTATCTGCCCTCCGTCCTCCCCTTCAGTCTTCTATCTGCCCTCCGTCCTCCCCTTCAGTCTTCTATCTGCCCTCCGTCCTCCCCTTCAGTCTTCTATCTGCCCTCCGTCCTCCCCTTCAGTCTTCTATCTGCCCTCCGTCCTCCCCTTCAGTCTTCTATCTGCCCTCCGTCCTCCCCTTCAGTCTTCTATCTGCCCTCCGTCCTCCCCTTCAGTCTTCTATCTGACCTCCGTCCTCCCCTTCAGTCTTCTACGTATATGGATTACATTTTTTGGCAGCCCTGCAGAAGGGTGGAACGCGTTGGCCCCTGAAACGCTTCCATATGATCAAAGCATCAATCAGTAAAGCAGCTCGGATTCTTCCACTGTTTGTTTTGGGGCTCCTTTCGTGTTTTTGTGTGTGACCCCCGACGGGGAGATTCTCCCCTCACTTCCTGTCTCCGCGACACCCAGACAAGACTTGGGAAGAGCAGTTGACAGAAGGGGCGCAGACAGCGGTGACAACTTTGTCAGACATTCTGATCCCGCGCTGCTGAAGGAAATTCATTTTTTGTGTTCCCGTTGAAGAGATTTTCCCTCACTTCCTGTTCTGACAGGAAGTAAGGGTAAAGCTCCCTAACAGGGGCACAGATGATCATGAAAACCTGACAGAGGTTCTATCCCTTCCCCGCTCCATGCAAAGCCAAGTTGTGATTCGTACGTCTGTTCTTGTATCTGAGAGGTAACAGTAGCAATTTTACGACTGGAAGGGAAACGAATGATCGTCCGGGGGCGCCGTAGTGAGACGATCGGCCGCATTGTAGCCGGAAGGAATTGTGTTTCATGTGAGAGGTTCGGCACAAGCCGTCCGGGGGCCAGATGTGGATGGGCGATACTGCGCCAAAATGTAATCGCTTAGACGGGTGAAGGCTGACGAGCTTCTACTGTATCCTGTATACTTTCCGAGTGTGCGTGGACCCGCGCCAAAATCTCGTGTT